CACAGCATGATGCTGCCACCACCATTCTTCACCGTAGGGATGGTGCCAGGTTTCCTCCAGACGTGATGGTTGGCATTCAGGCCAAAGAGTTCAATCTTGGTTTCATCAGACCAGAGAATCTTGTTTCTCATGGTCTGAGAGTCCTGTAGGTGTCTTTTGGCAAACTCCAAGCGGGCTGTCATGTGCCTTTTACTGAGGAGTGGCTTCCGTCTGGCCACTCTACCATAAAGGCCTGATTGGTGGAGTGCTGCAGAGATGGTTGTTCTTCTGGAAGGTTCTCCAATCTCCACAGAGGAACTCTGGAGCTCTTTCAGAGTGACCATCGGGTTCTTGTTCACCTCCCTGACCAAGGCTTTTCTACCCCGATTGCTCAGTTTGGCTGGGCGGCCAGCTGTAGGAAGATTCTTGGTGGTTCCAAATTTCTTCCATTTAAGAATGATGGAAGCCACTGTGTTCTTGGGGACCTTCATTGCTGCAGACAGTTTTTGGTACCCTTCCCCAGATCTGTGCCTCGACACAATCCTATCTCGGAGCTCTACGGACAATTCCTATGACCTCATGACTTGGTTTTTGCTCTGACATGCACTGTCAACTGTGGGACCTTATATAGACAGGTGTGTGCCTTTCCAAATCATGTCCAATCAATTGAATATATTACAGGTGGACTCCAATCAAGTTGTAGAAACATATCAAGGATGATCAATGGAAACAGGATGCACCTGAGCTCAATTTCGAGTCTCATAGCAAAGGGTCTGAATACTTGTCTAAATTACTTAATTCCTTTCTTTATATTTTGGGATTTGTGTGTATTGTTGTGTATTGTTAAGTATTACTGCATGTTGGGGCTAGAAACATAAACATTTTGCTGCACCTGCGATAACATCTGCAAAATACGTGTACACAACCAATACAATTGTATTTTATTTGAAGACACATGGGGACTGGCAAACTTTGTTTCCAGAACTCCATGAGTCCTCATCAGGCATGTTACATTTCTTTATTTATGTGTGGCACTAAGTATTTGACCCCTCTGCAAAACATGACTTAGTACTTGGTGGCAAAACCCTTGTTGGCAATCACAGAGGTCAGACGTTTCTTGTAGTTGGCCACCAGGTTTGCACATATCTCAGGAGGGATTTTGTCCCACTCCTCTTTGCAGATCTTCTCCAAGTCATTAAGGTTTCGAGGCTGACATTTGGCAACTTGAACCTTCAGCTCCCTCCACAGATTTTCTATGGGATTAAGGTCTGGAGACTGGCTAGGCCACTCCAGGACCTTAATATGCTTCTTCTTGAGCCACTCCTTTGTTGCCTTGGCCGTGTGTTTTGGGTCATTGTCATGCTGGAATACCCATCCACGACCCATTTTCAATGCCCTGGCTGAGGGAAGGAGGTTCTCACCCAAGATTTGACGGTACATGGCCCCGTCCATCGTCCCTTTGATGCGGTGAAGTTGTCCTGTCCCCTTAGCAGAAAAACACCCCCAAAGCATAATGTTTCCACCTCCATGTTTGACGGTGGGGATGGTGTTCTTGGGGTCATAGGCAGCATTCCTCCTCCTCCAAACACGGCGAATTGAGTTGATGCCAAAGAGCTCGATTTTGGTCTCATCTGACCACAACACTTTCACCCAGTTCTCCTCTGAATCATTCAGATGTTCATTGGCAAACTTCAGACGGGCCTGTATATGTGCTTTCTTGAGCAGGGGGACCTTGCGGGCGGTGCAGGATTTCAGTCCTTCACGGTGTTTTATGTTACCAATTGTTTTCTTGGTGACTATAGTCCCAGCTGCCTTGAGATCATTGACAAGATCCTCCCGTGTAGTTCTGGGCTGATTCCTCACAGTTCTCACGATCATTGCAACTCCACGAGGTGAGATCTTGCATGGAGCCCCAGGCCGAGGGAGATTGACAGTTCTTTTGTGTTTCTTCCATTTGCGAATAATCGCACCAACTGTTGTCACCTTCTCACCAAGCTTCTTGGCGATGGTCTTGTAGCCAATTCCAGCCTTGTGTAGGTCTACAATCTTGTCCCTGACATCCTTGGAGAGCTCTTTGGTCTTGGCCATGGTGGAGAGTTTGGAATCGGATTTATTGATTGCTTCTGTGGACAGGTGTCTTTTATACAGGTAACAAGCTGAGATTAGGAGCACTCCCTTTAAGAGTGTGCTCCTAATCTCAGCTCGTTACCTCTATAAAAGACACCTGGGAGCCAGAAATCTTTCTGATTGAGAGGGGGTCAAATATTTATTTCCCTCATTAAAATGCAAATCAATTTATAACATTTTTGACATGCGTTTTTCTGGATATTTTTGTTGTTATTCTGTCTCTCGCTGTTCAAATAAACCTACCATTAAAATTATAGACTGATCATTTCTTTGTCAGTGAGCAAACGTAAAAAATCAGCAGGGGATCAAATACTTTTTTCCCTCAAGTGCATCCCTGTCCCACCCCACGACCCTGAGAAAAGACATCTGTGTGTTTATTGCCAATTTTAACCGCACACTGTTTTTGTACATTGATTTTACAATGTCATATGCTTTCCCCCCAACACCACTTTTTATCAATGTGTATAGCAGACCCTCATGCCAAATTGAGTCAAAAGCTTTTTTGAAATCAACAAAGCATGAGAAGACTTTGCTTTTGTTTTGTATGTTTGTCAATAAGGGTGTGCAGGGTGTTTACGTGGTCTGTCGTACAGTATTTTGGTAAGAAGTCAATTTGACATTTGCTCAGGACATTATTTTCACTGAGGATATGTGAGGACTGAGTCTGCTGTTGATGATACTGTTGAGGATTTATCCGAGATTGCTGCTGACGCATATTCCACGGTAATTATTTGGGTCAACTTTGTCTCCACTTTTGTGGGTTGGGGGGATCAAGCCTTAGTTCCAAATATTAGGGAAGAGCTGAGGATAATGTTGAAGAGTTTAATAATAGCTAATTTGAATTTGTGGTATGTATATTTTATCATTTAGTTTAGTATACCATCAACACCACAGGCCTTTTTGGGTTGGAGGGTTTGTATATTGTCCTGTAGCTCATCCGATGTAATTGGATAATTCAGTGGTTTCTGGTAGTCTTTAATAGCTGATTATTATTTTGTCTATTTTTTTTTGCTCTCGGTTCTTAGTTATATGGCTGAAAATTTTGGAGAAGTGGTTTATCCATACGTCTCCATTTTGGATAGATAGCTCTTCCTGCTGTTGTTTGTTTAGTGTGTTCCAATTTTCCCAGAAGTGATTTGATTCTATGGATTCTTCAATCACAATGAGCTGTTTTCTGTCATGCTGTTCCTTCTTTTTTCTCTGTGTTGTTTTAGTGTTTCACCATAGTGAAGACGTAAGCTAAGGTTTTCTGGTTCTCTGTGTTTTTGGTTGGATAGGTTTCTCTATTTCTTTCTTAGGTTTTTACATTCTTCATCAAACCATTTCTCATTGTTGTTAGTTGTCTTAGGTTTTCTGCTGGGAATTTAAATTTGTTAGCTGATAGGTCAAATATATTGTTCAGGCTTTCTACTGCTAAGTTTACACCTTCACTATTGCAAGAAAACATTTTGCCCAGGAAGTTGTCTAGGAAGGATTGGATTTGTTGTTGGCCAATTGTTTTTTGGCCAATTGTTTTTCGGTAGGTTTCTACTCTACCTTCCTTCCATCTATAGCATTTCTTAATAGTATGCAGTTTGTTTGGCTTCAATGCCTCATGGTTGATTATTGCTCTATTCAAGTTGATTGTGATTTTGCTGTGATCTGATAGTGGTGTCAGTGGGCTGACTTTGAACACTATGGGAGACTCTGGGTTGAGGTTGGTGATAAAGTAGTGTACAGTACTACTGCCAAGAGATGAGCTATAGGTGTACCTACCGTAGGAGTTCCCTCGAAACCTACCATTGACTATGTACATACCCAGCGCGCGACAGAGTTGCAGGAATTGTGACCCATTTTTGTTGGTTATGTTGTCGTAGTTGTGTCTAGGGGGGCATATGGGGGAGGGAATGCTGTCACCTCCAGGTAGGTGTTTGTCCCCCTGTGTGCTGAGGTTGGGTTGGGGGTGTGGATGTGTCTGGTGGTGCTGTGGTCTGGATGTAGGTCCTCTCGTTCTCTCTCTCTTGATCTCTCTCCCATTCTCTCTTTCGCTCACTCATTATCTCTGTCTTATTCCCATTCCCCCTCTCTCTCTCTCTCTCTCTCTCTCTCTCTCTCTCTCTCTCTCTCTCTCTCTCTCTCTCTCTCTCACACACACACACACACAGTCCTATTCATAGAAATATTGCTCACACAGCATGGCATAGGAAAATACATTTTTGTAGTAGAAAATAATAAAGGACATAATTAAATAATATTTACATGAATTAGATTTTGCGGTTGAGGTGAAATGCGCGTGACAGTGACACTGACACACCCCTATTCTGAGCGGAAGCAAGTGCGTTCAAGGTGTTGCAGACAGATAGCGCTGCATGTTCCTAGTGATGGGAATTCCGAGTCTTTTCGGTGAGCGGGATCATTTGGCTCCTTTCACCTAAAAGAGCCGTTCATTTGGCTCATAGTGCTTAGAAATTGAGTTTAAACTATACAAAATATTACATCTGTAATTTAAAGCCTAAAACGTTGCCTACCATTATGTCAGATCGTGAAATGTGAGTTCAAATATATTTTTACCTGACCAAATTATTAAAAATGAATAAAATAATAATAATAATAATACAATGAAAAAATGAGCGTGGATCAGAATGAGGCGCTCTCCTCACTATAAAGTTCCTGCACTGAGGAATTACCATCAACAGACACTGTTTTTATAACTTATCTGCAGATAATCGATGTCTGGAGCTCAAAAAGCAACGGTGGCAGTATGCAAATCAGGGAGCCAAATGATCGGCTCTTTCACCGATGCAATTCGGTTCCCGACGTTCACTAAAAACAGCCATTCAAAAAGAGCCGTTCGTTCGTATCACCTGCTACCCACCCGGCCACTGCAATGCGATGCTGCGGCTGCTCATTACTGCCGAGAGTCCCACGCAGTACTGATGGAGGGAGGGAAGTTGTGAGGCGGCGAGAAGGGGAGATATCCCCTAAAAAGGCCAACCTAAGACCATGGCGGAGGCCAATCCTTTTAGGGGACTGCCCCGTTTGCGGAGGGCCGCGGTAAGGTGTTTACGATGGAAGTATTTCTTTGACGTTTCCCCAAATTAGGAATCAGAATCTGTCTATTGCAGCATAGCGAGGCGAATACTGCTTGCCCGGGATGTGCCCTACTGCGGCATCAGCTAGAAATCGCATGCGATTTAAGGCATACACAAATGTAGGATAACACTTGAGTTTCTGTCTGTTCTAGTAAGCGTGAATTAAAAAATAGTTTACATAGTTGTAAGTCTATACATGTGTTTGGAGATGCGAGGGGTCGGACAGGACATGCCAATGACAAAATGGTGTGTATGATAAGTCTTGCGCGGGATAACAACTGTAACATTAGTTGAAACAGCTCTTTAGGCATTGAAGAGTGATATAACCTAGTGTAAGTTGTAGGAGGGTGTTATCAGTTCAATCTTTATCAATAGAGAGCACATGAATATTGTATGACCTTAAAATATTGTTGCAGTAGCCTAATTGCGTTTCTACAGCTGTCTGTATGTATCAGTCCGCATCATTCACATAAAGTTAGCTAATAACTGATATAGCCTACTGTACGGGATTTGCTCTGTAGTTCACCACAGGGCATGTAAGCAAGGTGTTTCACTGACATAGCAGTGCAGTCGCACTGCAATGGATGCTGTTGGTAAATAAAGGAAAAACTATATTTCATAATACATGCATTATGTGATGGTATAGGGGTCTATTTGAGATGTGTAATAGGCCAAAACTCTGTTCATATGCATGTTTCTGATCTGTGCTGCAGTGGTCAAACTAATCTTCAGCTTGTCTCCACTAGGATTGACTGAGTGTGAGGGAAAGCTGATGAGCTTGATGTCGACTGGTGTGTTTCATTGATCACCTGTCCTGCAGACATTCAGATTGACTTTGCCTTATATCTATTTGCATTCACACGGCTGCTCAAAGCTGCCCCTTGGATCATAGTGGCCTGTACATGGAAGTACATCTCCATTGGCCTATGCAAAGTTCCATTATTCACGTCGAGGCCTTATAGTTCTGAGCCTGAGATGCATTTGCCTCACACATCTGAAGAGAGCCTGACAGGTCACAAGGATGTAATACGAGTCTAAGCACCTCCATGATGTTGGAGGTGCTGCAGTATGTTGTGAGTTTCTCTGCTATTCCAGAGATAGTAGAAGGCTTCTATTTGACCCATATTTATCCTCTTTCTCTATCATTTGTTTATTTGAATCATCATGTAGAGACATTACTAGTCATACATGTTTTGCAATCTTTTATAATGAACCCGAACTTAAATTCCAGAAGACAGAAGGAGAACATCCTGGTAAAATTAGAGTCCAATACATTCATCCAGAGCCATATATTTAACAAGTGTAAAAAAATATTTATCAAAATATAGCTCTGCATTCATCTATCCATGCAACATAGGTTGCATTTGTACCAAACATCAACATGCTGACTTAGGTTTATTCACTAGTCTAGTGCTATAGGGAGGAGGACTTATGTAAGAGTTATCTAATGATTTAAGAGGGTCAATACTGTAAACGTCCACACTTACCGAGTAAGATGAAAACTAAGAAGAACGGCTTGAGAACAGTAGTGAGGCAATAACCAAGTATGAATAAAACAGAGCAGGTTGACACAACAGTCATACCACACAGGTCATAAAGTGATATCATATCAATTATCTTAACTGTTTATCTCATCTCCTGCTGTTTTCTTTCTGCAGATGTCCTTCCCAGGGAATCTCCACCTGGTGTTGGTCTTGCGGCCCACCAGCCTCCTGCAGAGTCCCTCAGGCACCGGCACTGACTTGGGCTTCCGCTTCAGCCAGGATGACTTCATGCTCAAGATGCCGGTAAGAAGTGGAGATGATGAAACCAAGGCTTATTTGAAATGTTGAGCAAGTACCTGTACAGACAGTGGTTAAGGGACAGTATTGGGTGATTACAGTAAATATTGAAGTAGTTGTTTCAACAGTCTGACAACATAAGGGGCTGTGAAGGGCTCTCTTAGGTTAAGTTACCCACAATCTCTCTCTTAGATATATTACTGTAATGTGATGAGTGATTATTATTGATTCTGGTTGTCATGGTGGTTTTATGTTGTACCCCTTGGTCTGCTACTCTGCGTTCTTCCACAGGTGGTCATGCTCAGCTCAGTTACAGACCTGCTTCGCTACATCGATGAGAACCAGCTGACCTCCGAGTTTGGTGGAACTCTGGATTACTGCCATAGTGACTGGATTGTCCTTCGTACGGTAAACATACTGTCCCACAGTGTCACCTACAGCAACACATGAATTATAGGCAGACCTGGTATTTTGGATTACTGACCACATCAACAACATCTAGACAATTACACCGCAAAGCAGCCTAGATGTGCAGTGTGGCACTATACATAACAAATGAGTGTTTTTGGTAGAAGAAGTTCATGACTATTTGTCTCCCTCTGCAGGCTATTGAGAGCTTTGCTGTGACGGTGAAGGAGATAGCCCAGTTGCTCCAGTCGTTCGGCACGGAGCTCGCTGAGACCGAGCTACCAGATGAGGCCGACGCCATCGAGTTCCTCCTCAAATCCCACACTGACAAATACAGGCGGCTGAAAGTAAGACACATCTCCCATGACAACCTTGGAATTATTCCTAGTGTTCTTTCTTTGCAAGGCCATAGTAGTGCATGCTGTTGTGATGTCGTGTGAATAACTGAATGACAATGATTGCAGGATGACATCAGGTCTGTGATGCGGGAGGGCCGCCACTTGCTCGCCAACCTGGAGGCCGCCAAGGCAGCGAAAGCTGATGGACAGGAGGACAAAGATATCAAACAGGACTGGGACACAGTACAGAGGTACAGTATACTTTTAAAAAGATGGGTCAGACAATTATTTGTTTCTTCACATGCTATTGGTTGTGTGTAGTATAATTGATCTAAGGCTGTCTTTGCAGTAGCTGCCATGGGATGGGGCTCTGAAGGAATTATCGTTTTGATAGATTTAAGTGTTTGACCTTTAGCTTGTGGACCACCTGTTTTCCTCAGGCTTCTGGCACAACTACGGGACATGGAGATGGCTTTTGATGGCTTTTTTGAGAAGCATCACCTGAAGCTGCAACAGTACCTTCAACTGATGAGATATGAGATGAGCTTTCATGAGGTACAGTCAGTTTAGAGTGGTAAAGTGAAAAGTGTCAATCTGTACTATTTTCTACATTTAGTGCCAAAGGCCAAACTTCCTTTTTGCTGTTGCTCAGATGGAGGAGATCCTGGACCAGCTGTCTGGTCAGGAGAAGGAGGTCGCTGCAGTGGGCGGGACAGTGGTCCAGACAGAACAGCTATTAAAAGATCTGGAGTCACTGGACACCCGTGCACAGGTCAGGGTCCCACTACACAAACTAACCTCTCACTTAACCCTTATCTAGTACATCATGAGATTTCTGACAGAGAAACGTAAACTGCTCCAGATAGGGACACTATGATGTTGATCCTTGACTGGGGTTTTTTGATTGTGGTGGTTGTCAGGAAGAGATGGGCCGTGCCCAGATCATCATCCTGCGCGGCCACCAGCTGGCCACCAGTCACCACTACGCTCTGGCCCTGATCGTCCAGCGGTGCAACGAGCTGCGGCACCACTGTGACGTGCTGACCACCGCCATCCGAGCCAAACGGGCTGCCCTCACCCGCATACGTGACCTGCTGCTGCGTCTGGAAGAGGTATGCAAACGCACACACACACACACAATTATAACCCCCATCCTCCCATATCCACTCATAAAGCTTGTAGAGTCTGTTATGTCTGTGATGGTCAGTGTGTCATGCTTCCATGCGTCTCTGTGTGTGTGTCTGTGTGTGTCTATGTCTGCCTTCAGGCCCGGCGCTGGTGTGACGAGGGGGCTTACCTCTTAGCCAATCAGCTGGTGGATAAGTTCCAGTCCAAGGAGGGAGCTCAGGGAGCGCTGCAGGATATAGAGAGACACCAAGAGGAGGCACCGTCGTGTCTGAGCCAAAGCCCTGATGTCCTCAGTCTGGAGTTTGAGGCCATCCTGACCCCCCAGCTACAGGTATACATCCCTGCTCCATAGCCTGTTCTTCGGTGTCAGTCACTTTTCCACCCAGCCTGGCTCCAAGTCATACTGTACCATTTCATCCCATTATCACTGTATCATTTCATCCCAAAGCTCTTTTGTATGATGATAACATCCTGTCAACACAGCAAACATGACACATACTGTAATACTACTACCACCACAAGCTTATAATATTATTATCAACAACCTACTGTTGCCAGCACTTTCCAACTGTCTATTTCCTCGTGCAGATCCAATATGCCTATCAATCTCTCTCTCTCTCTCTCTCTCTCTCTCTCTCTCTCTCTCTCTCTCTCTCTCTCTCTCAGTCTCAGATTGGGGTGGCCACTGAGAAGCTGTCTGCCATGCAGAGAATGATCCACAACAGACAGGCATGTCTGAGGAAGCTGGCTGACATTCAGGTGCGGCCCATCCAGCTGGTGGCCCCTCGGCCTGAGCACTCTCCTCGATGCAAATCCCCTCTCTTCTCCCCCAAACACAGTACGTTACCATAAATAGACCACCACACAACTCTTACCAAGGCCTAACGGACGGTGAATGTGAATTACTTCTCGTACTCTGATTATTAGGTGTGTGAGAAAATATTTTTCAAGAATGATAGTGGACAATCTTCCGCCTGTCTTCCTCAGGGCAAGTGTTCATACTTCAAGTAATAGCATTTTCTATAATCATTCTGTGCGTTTTCATGTCTGCAGGTGTAGATTTCAACTCTGTTCTCAACTCAAGGTTCTCTTTTGACCTCTTACCTGGCAAGAGGGCAGCTCGGAAAAGCCCTAGAAAGGTGAGAGTTGGGTTATTAAACCTAAAGATCAGAAGGTTCTGTAAGCTCTACTGCATTCATGAAGTATATGACACGCACAGGACCTGTATTACTATAGAACGTTGGTTATGTCAGTTTTTTCCAGTGGACGATTGGAACGGGATTAGTTTCACCAAACTGCCCGTGAAATATATTTTTTCTCATTAAATTGACCATTATGATGGAAGCCTGGAGGCTGTTCTAACCTTGAATAACAGTTTCCAAATTGGGGAAATGTCTCTCTCGCTCTGTCTTCTATCTATCTATCTATCTATCTATCTACAGTTGATGTCGGAAGTTTACATACACCTTAGCCAAATACATTTAAACTCAGTTTTTCACTATTCCTGACATTTAATCCTAGTAAAACTTCCCTGTCTTAGGTCAGTTAGGATCACCACTTTAATTTAAGAATGTGAAATGTCAGAATAATAGTAGAGAGAATGATTTATTTCAGCTTTTATTTCTTTCATCACATTCCCAGTGGGTCAGAAGTTTACATACACTCAATTAGTATTTGGTAGCATTGCCTTTTAAATTGTTTAACTTGGGTCAAACGTTTTGGGTAGCCTTCCACAAGCTTCCCACAATAAGTTGGGTGAATTTTGGCCCATTCCTCCTGACAGAGCTGGTGTAACTGAGTCAGGTTTGTAGACCTCCTTGCTCGCACACGCTTTTTCAGTTCTGCCCACACATTTTCTATAGGATTGAGGTCAGGGCTTTGTGATGGCCACTCCAATACCTTGACTTTGTTGTCCTTAAGCCATTTTGGCACAACTTTGGAAGTGTGCTTGGGGTCATTGTCCATTTGGAAGACCCATTTGCAACCAAGCTTTAACTTCCTGACTGATGTCTTGAGATGTTGCTTCAATATATCCACATAATTTTCCTTCCTCATGATGCCATCTATTTTGTGAAGTGCACCAGTCCCTCCTGCAGTAACGCACCCCCACAGCATGATGCTGCCACCCCCGTGCTTCACGGATGGGATGTGTTCTTCGGCTTGCAAGCCTCCCCTTTTTCCTCCAAACATAACGATAGTCATTATGGCCAAACAGTTCTATTTTTGTTTCATCACACCAGAGTACATTTCTCCAAAAAGTACGATCTTTGTCCCCATGTGCAGTTGCAAACCGTAATCTGGCTTTTTTATGGCGGTTTTGGAGCAGTGGGTTCTTCCTTGCTGAGCGGCCTTTCAGGTTATGTCGATATAGGACTCGTTTTACTGTGGATATAGATACTTTTGTACCTGTTTCCTCCAGCATCTTCACAACGTCCTTTGCTGTTGTTCTGGGATTGATTTGCACTTTTCGCACCAAAGTACATTCATCTCTAGGAGACAGAACGCGTCTCCTTCCTGAGCGGTATGTTGGCTGCGTGGTCCCATGGTGTTTATACTTGCATACTATTGTTTGTACAGATGGACGTGGTACCTTCAGGCGTTTGGAAATTGCTCCCAAGGATGAACCAGACTTGTGGAGGTCTACAATTTATTTTCTGAGGTCTTGGCTGATTTCTTTTGATTTTCCCATGATGTCAAGCAAAGAGGCACCGAGTTTGAAGGTAGGCCTTGAAATACATCCACAGGTACACCTCCAATTGACAAATGATGTCAATTAGCCTATCAGAAGCTTCTAAAGCCATGACATCATTTTCTGGAATTTTCCAAGATGTTTAAAGGCACAGTCAATTTAGTGTATGTAAACTTCTGACCCACTGGAATTGTGATACAGTGAATTATAAGTGAAATAATCTGTCTGTAAACAATTGTCGGAAAAATTACTTGTGTCATGCACAAAGTAGATGTCCTAACCGACTTGCCAAAACTATAGTTTGTTAACAAGAAATGTGTGGAGTGGTTGAAAAACAAGTTTTAATGACTCCAACCTAAGTGTATGTAAACTTCCGACTTCAACTCTATCTATCTATCTATCTACAGTGGGGAAAAAAAGTATTTAGTCAGCCACCAATTGTGCAAGTTCTCCCACTTAAAAAGATGAGAGAGGCCTGTAATTTTCATCATAGGTACATGTCAACTATGACAGACAAAATGAGAAAAAGAAATCCAGAAAATCACATTGTAGGATTTTTAATGAATTTATTTGCAAATTATGGTGGAAAATAAGTATTTGGTCAATAACAAAAGTTTCTCAATACTTTGTTATATACCCTTTGTTGGCAATGACACAGGTCAAATGTTTTCTGTAAGTCTTCACAAGGTTTTCACACACTGTTGCTGGTATTTTGGCCCATTCCTCCATGCAGATCTCCTCTAGAGCAGTGATGTTTTGGGGCTGTCGCTGGGCAACACAGACTTTCAACTCCCTCCAAAGATTTTCTATGGGGTTGAGATCTGGAGACTGGCTAGGCTACTTCCGGACCTTGAAATGCTTCTTACGAAGCCACTCCTTCATTGCCCGGGCGGTGTGTTTGGGATCATTGTCATGCTGAAAGACCCAGCCACGTTTCATCTTCAATGCTCTTGCTGATGGAAGGAGGTTTTCACTCAAAATCTCACGATACATGGCCCCATTCATTCTTTCCTTTACACGGATCAGTCGTCCTGGTCCCTTTGCAGAAAAACAGCCCCAAAGCATGATGTTTCCACCCCCATGCTTCACAGTAGGTATGGTGTTCTTTGGATGCAACTCAGCATTCTTTGTCCTCCAAACATGACGAGTTGAGTTTTTACCAAAAAGTTCTATTTTGGTTTCATCTGACCATATGACATTCTCCCAATCCTCTTCTGGATCATCCAAATGCACTCTAGCAAACTTCAGACTGGCCTGGACATAAGCAGGGGGACACGTCTCGCACTGCAGGATTTGAGTCCCTGGCGGCGTAGTGTGTTACTGATGGTAGGCTTTGTTACTTTGGTCCCAGCTCTCTGCAGGTCATTCACTAGGTCCCCCCGTGTGGTTCTGGGATTTTTGCTCACCGTTCTTGTGATCATTTTGACCCCACGGGGTGAGATCTTGCGTGGAGCCCCAGATCGAGGGAGATTATCAGTATGTCTTCGATTTCCTAATAATTGCTCCCACAGTTGATTTCTTCAAACCAAGCTGCTTACCTATTGCAGATTTAGTCTTCCCAGCCTGGTGCAGGTCTACAATTTTGTTTCTGGTGTCCTTTGACAGCTCTTTGGTCTTAGCCATAGTGGAGTTTGGAGTGTGACTGTTTGAGGTTGTGGACAGGTGTCTTTTATACTGATAACAAGTTCAAACAGGTGCCATTAATACAGGTAACGAGTGGAGGACAGAGGAGCCTCTTAAAGAAGAAGTTACAGGTCTGTGAGAGCCAGAAATCTTGCTTGTTTGTAGGTGACCAAATACTTATTTTCCACCATAATTTGCAAATAAATTCATTAAAAATCCTACAATGTGATTTTCTGGATTTCTTTTTCTCATTTTGTCTGTCATAGTTGACATGTACCTATGATGAAAATTACAGGCCTCTCTCATCTTTTTAAGTGGGAGAACTTGCACAATTGGTGGCTGACTAAATACTTTTTCCCCCCACTGTATCAATCTATCAATCTATCAATCTATCAATCTATCAATCTATCAATCTAATCAATCTAATCAATCTAATCAATCTAATCTAAATCTAAATCTAATCTATAGGTTTTTGGGGCTGGAATAATCTATCTGTAGGTTTTTGGGGCTGGAATAATAACCTTCCCGCCAAGTAAAAATGACTGACATGGCAGACACGGACAAGACAAAAATTACGGATGTGGTGTTTTGTGCTCGTGCAGATAATTACATTACTCAACCTCGCCAGTATATCTAATCCTAACTTTACATTTCATGTGAACAATATTTGCATGGTAAAGCATATTTTTTTTATCTGGCCTCCACATCGTCTCTGTGACCTATAGGTTTATCATTTTTTCAGCTTGCCATGTTGACTAAATTCCATTCCATTGTTCTCTCTCTCTCCCCTCCAGATAGAGGTGATGCATGACTATGAGGAGAACCGCAACTGTCTCTCCTACGGCCAGGAGGGAGAGGAGAGCCCAGACCAGCTGAAACGGTGAAACAGCACCCGACCCCACTCATCAATCTGCATGTACTGTCTGACTCCAGCTTGCTTTCAACACCTGTTTATCTGTCTTTATCTGTTATCTGTCTAGAAAATGTAATTACATTTAATTTAATAAAGCAATTTCCCTTACTGGTGCCTCTCTGTCTCTCTCTCTCTCTCTCTCTCTCTCTCTCTGTGCATCTCGCTGACTGTGCTTTGTGTCTTCAGACACATAATGAAAGAGCTTATTGAGACAGAGAGGATCTATGTAGAGGAGCTGCTGTCTGTTTTGCTGGTAAGGTGTTTCATTTAACAGTTGCACAGACACACAAACCAACCCAAAGGGTACAATATAAAAAACAAGTCTTCATTTCTATAGGGTTACAGAGCAGAGATGGATAACCCCGCCCTCTCCAACCTACTGCCCTCTGTCCTGCGCAGCAAGAAGGAGGTCCTCTTCGGGAATATGCCAGAGATCTACAACTTCCACAGCAGGCAAGGATGTACACAAACACTCTCTCACACACACACTGAGGCACTGATAAGCAGAAGCGCTGACTCCGTTTTTACAAATAAAATTGAATTTGTCACAGACACGTGTTTAGCAGATGTTATTGCGGGTGTAGCGAAATGCTTGTGCTTCTAGCTCCGACAGTGCAGTAATACAATTTCACAACATATACCCAATACACACATCTAGTAAGGAATGTATTACAGATATATATACATATATGGACAAGCAATGACAGAGCGTATTGAAGAAAGTATTGATTGAAATTATAAGTCTGCCATGACTCACCCCCATCACCCCTCCTCCTCTCTACAGAACCTTTCTCCAGGACTTGGAGGGGTGCCTGGAGACTCCTGAGAGAGTTGGAGCATGCTTTCTACAACGGGTGAGCAAGCTTGTGATCACCCCCTCTCTGACCACATGTGGAATGGGGTCATCAGTCAGAGCCTCCTGTAACCATCTACAGTCATTTGGCTTGGTTTTGACATTTCTCTGTCGTTTCAGAAAGAAAAGTTTCAGGTGTATGAGCGCTACTGTCAGAACAAGTCACACTCTGAGTTGCTATGGAGACAGTGCTCTGCTTCACACTTCTTCCAGGTACTCTCGCTAAGTGTACTGCAAAACTGTTTTTATTGAGGAGAGTTGCACTTCCACTTACCTCCCACTTTTGAATCCCCTTTCATGTATTGATAAAAGTTATAGTTTTGACAAATGTGTGTCTTCTGGATAGATTTGAAGGATTTCTTCAATCTTTCCGTCTCCATCCTGTGTAGGAGTGTCAGAAGAAGCTGGAGCACAAACTGGGGTTGGACTCGTACCTACTGAAGCCAGTCCAGAGGCTGACTAAGTACCAGCTGCTGCTGAAGGTAGGGCTTGGGCTCAGCCAACAACATCTTGACTTACATGGTTCATGTATGAGCCTTAACATTCCATTGTAACACATTGGACCTCCGGGCTCCTGTCTTTCCCAACAGGAGCTGTTGAAGCACAGTGCAGACAGTGATTATATCTCTGAGCTGCAAGGGGCACTAGAGGCCATGCTGGATCTCCTCAAGTCTGTGAACGACTCCATGCACCAGATCGCCATCACAGGTTATGAGGTAAAGAATGTGAGTGAGAGACTGCATGAGTGACTAAGTGAGAATGAATGAGAAATTTACAGATGTGCATTTTCTTTCGCTCAGTGATTTCTTCATAATTACTACAAAGTGAAATGTGTAATAATTATGGCTTACCATATCCCACCATGCTGGGTTGTGTTGTGTCTGGCTGTGTCCCCAGGGGGAGCTGAGTGACCTGGGTCGGGTGCTGATGCAGGGCTCCTTCAGTGTGTGGATCAGCCATAAGAGGGGCCCCACGAGGATGAAGGCCCGTTTCAAACCCATGCAGAGGCATCTCTTCCTGCATGAGCACGCTCTGCTCTTCTGCAAGCGCCGTGAGGAGCATGGGGAGGCCCACGACCGCACCCCCTTCTACAGCTTCAAGCACTGCCTGAGGGTAAGGCCGGGGCAGGCCACTACTGGCACTTCTGCTCTTATCATATGGACACACGTTCGCTTTGAGGGACAATCAACACACTTGCAATGGTGAATTGTGTTTTCTCTGCAGATGACTGCTGTTGGGATCACTGAGAATGTCAAAGGAGATGTGAAAAAGTTTGAGCTCTGGTACAGTGGCAGAGAGGAGGTGTATATTGTTCAGGTGAGGCCCACATTGTTGATCATTTTGATTTTGATTATCTTGTGCTCTCAGTTTAGTCTGTGCCTTGGCAAGTGATGGAGTAGGCTTGGTCTGGTCTTCTTACCCACTTCATATGTAAATTATATACTGTATTCTAGTCAAGGCTCATCCTATATAACTACTGCTGTACATACCTTTTCTATTCATACACTGTCCATAATGTCTATACACACTATCGTATATATTGACTCTGACATTGCTCATCCTGATATTTCTCAATTATTGTATTTGAATTTTATGGGATTTGTATGTATTGTTAGGTATTATTGCACTGTTGGAGCTAGAAACACAAGCATTTCGCTGCACCTGCGATAACATCTGCAAAATGTGTACGCGGCCAATACAATTTGGTATGGTTTGACTCGCTGACACACACAGTACTGATGCCTGTGGCTGTGTTCCCCAGGCCCCTACGTTCCAGATCAAGATCGCCTGGCTCACTGAGATCAGGAAAATTCTCACCAACCAACAGAGGCTCCTCCAAGGTTTCTACTTTGCGTCTACTTGTCTGTCAGCTTCCATGTTGGGTGTGTTGTTCATTCCCCTTGTCCTCTATTGTGGTGTGATGGGACCTGTCTGTCTGCATGCCAGTAGTTTGGTTAAACTACCTGGAGTTTTAAAGTCCCTTTTATCTGCCCTCTGCCCCCCTCTCCCTCTCCCCCTCTCTCAGAAGACATCCCCCCTATTCAACTCTCAGAGCAGACTCCTCTGTCTCCTCCCTCTACTGACAGGTGATGCTCTTTGCATGTCCTCTCATGTCCTCTCATGTCCCCATGTCTTACAATTTGCATGATGACCAAAGAGAACATTGTGATTTCCTGTCGCTCATAGCATGTGATTTGTTTGTTTTCGATTCCAATCATAGCTTGGTTTCGACTCATCTCCAACCTACTGACTCCGAAATGTCAAGCTTGTTTCTCTGGTATGATCTAGAGAATGATGTGACTTGGCCAGTGCCTGAGGCCAAGCTTGTGACCATGTGGATGTTGTGTTTCTGCCCCGTTCCTTTGCGACGCGGGACAGTCTGGCTCATATGTCGGTGTGCATGCCGTGGAGTCCCGGGCAGATCACTGGCTGCTCAGGTTGTTTTGATGTCCTTCCTCACAGTAAGCCTCCAGACCAGTCCCTCAGCACAGAGGAGGCAGAGTCGTCAGGCCGCACCAGCCCCGTCCTCACGGACCCCGTGGTCTTCTCCCCCCAGCCCCAGCACAACAATCGACGCAGTGAGTCAGCGTGGAAAACAGCAGCCATTTTGTCTCACCAACTCACTTTAGTAATAAAGCAGACTCCAAGTCTACTGGCCAATTGGGGCCGGTCAGTGAGGTTTCGACACTGAAAAGTCCAGCATGTAGCAGTGGAATTGTGTTTTTGTTGTCAGTGGAAAGGTTTTGAAAGTATCTAACATAAGTGACATTTAGGTCAATATGTATGGTACGTAGAGGCCTTTGACTTGTGAAGATAGTTGTATTTGAGAGCTGTCTGTCTGTCAAACGTAGGTTGGCCTGGCACCTCCCAGTCAGTGGATGTCTGTGAGGGTCTGGAGGACTGGAGCACCACTGACCTGTCCAACCTGTCAGACTCTGACGAGGATGACGACCCTACTCCATTGGTGAGCCAGTCTAAACTTCATCTGGCATTGTAGTGTTAAGTGTCCTGTAAAACAGCTGTGGAAGTAATTGGACATTGGACATTAGTCAGACAGTTTCCTAAGTTAGTGCGCTGTGTAAAATATGATGCGATTGTCAGTCTGTTTTTATTACTGGTCTTAAGGTAACATGCTTTTCTCTCACAGGTTCCTGGGAGGTACAGGGCCCTGGTGGAAAGTAGTGTGTGTAGTACAGATGACCTCATCATAAAGTGCGGTGATGTCATCCAGCTGCTACATCAGGACACTGTAGGGAAATGGTGAGAAGCCCCAGTACTAATATCACTACCACTCTTACTCTTACTGTTCCTTGCTGTTGTTACTACAGCAGTACTCCTGATTCTCTCTCTGTCAGGCTTGTGAGGAATGTCAGTCGTTGTGATGAGGGTCGGGTCTCAGCTGATAACCTGCACAGGATTCTGGGAGAGAGTAGCCGTGCCCACTCAGGCAGGATGGAAGGTGAGGGGCTCCCCATGGACCCACTACTAGAGATCACTGTTCTTGTATAGCTATTAGCATGGATGAATAAGATGTCCTCGTTTCCACATTACAACCGTACTACCTGTAGGTTTCTCTTAATCTTTCAGGGAATGAGAAAACCCGGAAGCTCAGCTCTCTCTGAATGAACCATGTGCCATCCATCCATCGTCCGGACACAACTTCTGTCATCACAACTGTTGTCCTGCTATCATTCGCATCCAAGGTCTTCTTTCCTGGAGTCTCCAGGGGCCTTGAACATGCTGCCTGAGACTGACCAGTCATCAATCAAACCAGAGGATCTGAAGGGTCAACTATGCCTTCTTACCATCCATCTCCAGTAATTTAATACCAATGGAATAATTGATACCATATTAATACCATGATGATAAACCACAAGGACATCTTTTTACATTTCCTCCAGAGGGTGCATGTGTTGCCGTGCAATGTTAGGGTAAAATCCCTACCCACGTCAAGCAAACAACCTCAAGCACAAGGCAATGGACTGAGTCTACTTTCCAACCCCAGGCAGCATCACAACATCACCCTTAAAGTACCGCAAATCATCAGAGAGATAGGATCTTCATTTTCCTGCGGATGAGGTGCATGAACTGTTTCCAGTCCACTTTATGAATATTTACTTAGAAAAGGACTGTTTTACTTCTGTTACAGTGAAGGTGAATCAATCTCTATTTTTTTACATTTGTGTATAACTATCATGGTTCATGAGAGACCATAACAGATTTCAACATTTCATCAATGCCAGTTTATGTGCCAAAACATTGACAGTTTCCCTGTCTTCTTTATTTGTTACAACAGCCTCATTTTGTACCACTCCCATTATCCCCAATTACTATGGTAAATAGCTTACATTTCAGTGTGAAAGCTAACAGCAAGCAAACCGTGCCAAGCTTTGTATTTCTATGCTCACTGTTCTGCATGAATGTCAACAGGGTGTTGCCAGTGGTCAGTTCCCTGTTGAACATTGCCTAATGCTTCTTTTTATGTGCACTGCAATTTTGTACCAGTAGGGGGTGGTGTGTCAGTAATCTGACCATTGACGTGAGAGGAGGGTCCTGCAGTGCTGCTGCTGCTTCTGCTGCTGAGCGAGTGTGATGAATGGATGTTGCAGCTTATATGTAAATTCTCCACATTGGCGGACGTTGGGGATTCATGTAAATGTACAGAGAATTTAATGTGCATATATGATATGGATGGAAATTATTTTACCAAATACAAGCACAAGATAATCTGATGGGAGAGTCTTTCTTTACATTTAGTCATTTAGCCAACACTCTTGTCCAGAGCGACTTACAGTAGTGAGTGCATACATGTTCATAGTTTTTTCTTTACTATGTCTTCACTTTTGAACCTTTATGGGTGTGGATGTGCATATAGTAAATGTTGACTGATGCTACTGTTCAAGGTGTAGGCCTGTGGGTCAGTCCCGAACGTTTCTGAATCTGCCTGAATATCTTGAATAACTTACAGAAGACATTCAGAGACATAATTTCCAGATCCCTTTTAATTCAACAACAAAGAATAAATCAGCTCAGTGACACAATACACATTTGTAAGAATCCCAAACTTTAAGTAGAGACGTCAGGCTCAGAATTGGAACCGATGCTTCTAAGCCCAGTGACATTGGAGATCCAAGGGAAGTAGCGTGACACACGTGTGTAGATGCCATACTTCCCTTCCTTGGCGCACTCCTCGCCCCAGCTCACGATGCCTGTAAGGAACCAGGTGTCCCGGTACTGGGTAGCATGGGGACCGCCACTGTCCCCCTGGCATGAATCCTTCTGCTCATTGATGTAACCGGCACAGAACATGAAGCGGGACACCCGTTCTGCGCTGCTGCCCTTGCACTCGGTCCGGTCCACATAAGGCACCTCCACCTTCTGCAGTATGGAGGACTCTGGGCCCTGGAAGCGCATCCTGCCCCAGCCGCTGACCACAGAGCTGGAGGCCTCCCTCAGCAGCGTCTCAGTGAAGTCCTTGGGCCCCAGGCAGATGGGGAGGCTGTAGTCAGAGAGGAGTACGGGCGTGCGGAGCTTCAGCAGGGCTATGTCGTGGTTGTACATGCTTGTCTTGGCGTCGTATCGCGGGTGTATGTGGTACTCAGCCACAGCGTGGTCATGCTCCCTCCCCTCTTGGACCTGCATGTTGTGCTCACCTGCAGAGAGACATTGTGATCAGATAAACATTCTTTTGAATGAAGGAAGCACAAATACGAAAACAGGCAGTCACTCCTACTTGGGTTGACTCACCCACTCTGATGAAAAATAATCCAATGAAGTCCTCTTTCAGGCAGTGGGCAGCGGTGATGACCCACATCTCACTGAGGAGGGAGCCACCACAGAAGCTCTGCCTGGTCAGCTTGCTCATCAGGGCCACCTGGCAGTGTTCCAGAGGTTAGCACAGACAACAGCAGTCTAAACACATTGACTGGAGGGGCTTAATTACACTCACACACACACACACACGACTGTCCTACCTGCCAGGGGATCTCCCCATGTTTCACTGTATTTCCCCCAACGATGCGCTTGTTGTCGGATGTCTCTTCCCGGATGGTGGGTAGTGTTGGGAAGAAGACCCAGGAGGGCAAGTCCCCCAGCACTGAGGAAGAGTGGCTGCTGCTGGTGCTGCTGATACGGTGGGGGGTTGTGGTGGTGGCATTGACCACACGAGAATCTAAGGTGTTGTTCACAGAGGTCTCCAGTGCCTCAGTGATGTTGATGGCGTTGTCGTAGGAGTGCTGGGTTTGATCAACATTTACGGCTGTGATGATCGACCGAGAGGACAGGGTTGAGCTTACAGCCTTGCCAAGATGACCACAAGGGAATAGTCCTGGCAAACACAGGTTGAAAATAGAAGATAGATGATGTAAATAAATGTAAAGGAAACATTATATTTTATATGCAGGATTAATCAGCACCTTCTGGTTCACAAGTGGTCTTGTCTGGAGCCAGTTTATACCCCGTGGCACAGTCACACACTGCATGCTGGCCGTTCAGCACACAGAAGTGGGAGCAGCCACCGTTGTTGATGTCACACTGCTTAGCCATCTCTGAGTAGGGAGAATCCATGAGAACAGTGGGTTAGGAGACTAGTTGACTTCAAACAATTTGGGGAAATTAAAGAGGTTAACATGTAAGCTACTATAAGGTAAACAAATGCAATGAAATCTTCAGGTAAAGCAGGAATATCTGCAAATCCAATCAAATGACAAGTGGATAAAAAGACAGTCAACGTTACTGTATTTGATTAGATTTTAAACAGAATAAAGGGACCACATTGCTCACCTATCTCACAGTTTTTCCCATTGAATTGAGGTGGACACCAGCATACATAAGCACTCATGGCGTCTTTACACTTCCCCCCATTCTGGCATGGGTTGGACTCACACTGGTCCCCGTCTGGAGGGGCACATAGACAAAGACTTGACTACAGATACATTATATAGATTATACCAATCTGCTGATAATATAACACTACTATGTCTACAGAATATCCACATTTTTAATAATTAATGCTTACCAAGGTAATTCACCCAAAAATCCATCTAAATAAAAAGAAAAAAAAAATGTTTTTTATTGATGCTGTCTATCACCTGACATGGCAGAGCCAATGGGCAGATGGACTTCATGTGGGGTTGTAGAGGATGCTACCTACTGTTTTCTCCATGTCCTCAAACACTTCTCTCGCCTCCTCCAGATTGCAGCGCTCCTCGATACACTCCCTCTCCAGGTTGTCCCTCTTCAGCTCCTCGAAGGCCCCCGTGTTGTAGCGTTTCTGCCTCCTCAGGAGGTTGTCTGCAGACTGCCTGGACAGAAAGACTGAGGCTGGGGAGGAAAGGAGGACAGAGATGGGGGGTCACTAAATGAACAATTGAGTTTAAATGAATTCCCCTTATAAGGGAAAGGTGAACATCTTTTTTGATCTCATTCAGGTTGGCGAAGCATATGACGTTTACCATGAAGAAGAAAATATGATAATTGACATAAAGAAAACGTCTCTGACTCTTCTCATGCTCTCATCCTGTATCTGTACCCTGAAGTTTATACAATGTGACACTGCATTTGACTGACAACTGAACTGGAAGAAGCAGGGGCATCATGCACCCAAAAATCTGAGGGGGCACAAAGTATTTGAGGATGGCTAGGGGGGAGTCCGGAGGGGGGCTAGGGCCCCCGTCAGGAAGTTGAAAACTTTTTCTAACACCTGAAACAGTTTTTTCCTAAAATCTAGAGCCATAATCATTATGCTTAATTCTATTAAAAAAGATATGCTTATTTTTCTGCATATCTAAGCATACCTCTTGAGCTGTCTGTATCCTCCTGACTAGTGGTTATTTTTTTAAAGAAACTAATTACACTATATATACAATGTGGACAACCCTGTATGTGGACAACCCTTAAAATTAGTGGATTCGGCTATTTTAGACAAACATTGGCAGTAGAATGGCCTTACTGAAGAGCTCAGTGACTTTCAATGTGGTACTGTCATAGGATGCCACCTTTCCAACAAATCAGTTTGTCAAATGTCTGCCCTGCTAGAGCTGCCCTGGTCAACTGTAAGTGCTGTTATTGTGAAGTGAAAATGTCTTGGAGCAACAACGGCTCAGCAACAAAGTGGTAGGCCACACAAGCTCACAGAACGGGACCACAGAGTGTTGAAGCGCGTAGCACATAAAAATCGTCTGTCCTCGGTTGCAACACTCACTACCGAGTTCCAAACTGCCTCTGGAAGCAATAACTGTTAGTCGGGAGCTTCATGAAATTGATTTCCATGGCCGAGCAGCCACACACAAGCCTAAGATCACCATGCACAATGCCAAGCGTTGGCTGGAGTGGTGTAAAGCTTGCCGCCATTGGACTCTGGAGCAGTGGAAACGCGTTCTCTGGAGTGATGAATCACACTTCACCATCTGGCAGTCCGACGGATGAATCTGGGTTTGGCGGATGCCAGGAGAACGCTACCAGCCCGAATGCATTGTGCCAACTTTAAAGTTTGGTGGAGGAGGAATAATGGTCTGGGGCTGTTTTTCATGGTTTGGGCTAGGCCCCTTAGTTCCAGTGAAGGGAAATCTTAAACCTACAACCATACAATGATATTCTAGATGATTCTGTGCTTACAATTTTGTGGCAACAGTTTGGGGAAGGCCCTTTCCTGTTTCAGCATGACGATGCCCTTGAGCACAAAGCGAGGTCCATACAGAAATGGTTTGTCGAAATTGGTGTGGAAGAACTTGACTGGCCTGCATAGGGCCCTGACCTCGACCCCATCAAACACCTTTGGGATGATTTGGAATGCCTACTGCAAGCCAGGCCTAATCGCCCAACATCAGTGCCCGACCTCACTAATGGTCTTGTGGCTGAAAGGAATCAAATCCACGCAGCAATGTTCCAACATCTAGTGGAACGCCTTCCCAGAAGAGTGGAGGCTGTTATAGCAGCAAAGGGAGACCAACTCCATATTAATGCCCATGATTTTGGAATGAGATGTTTGATGAGCAGGTGTCCACATACTTTTGGTCATGTAATGTATGATTCTCTGTATCTCTGCTAACGTCTGGGTAAAAGATTGAAAGGAATGAGAGTACATTTAGTAATTGCTTGCTTTTACTTTCTAAAGTCTACCAACCTTATCAGCAGGCATGCCAGCTAAGATAGTTAGACGAGCTAGCTACTCTGACTTGATTGATAGCCTGAAATGGCTTCTTGGTAGCTAGTTATGAGATTAGGAGATTGGGAATCTATCTGGGCTAGCTAAAACCAACTTCATAAAATTGCTAGATGGCTAGTAGTATAACAGAGAAACAACAACAACAAAATGTAGCTATAAATTATAATAATTATATACACTACCGTTCAAAAGTTTGGGGTCACTTAGGAATTTCCTTGTTTTTCGAAAGAAAAGCAATTATTTTGTCCATTAAAATAACATCAAATTGATCAGAAATACAGTGTAGACATTGTTAATGTTGTAAATGGCTATTGTAGCTGGAAACGGCTGATTTTAATGGAATATCTACATAGGCGTACAGAGGCCCGTTATCAGCAACCATCAGTCTTGTGTTCCAATGGCACGTTGTGTTTGCTAATACAAGTTTATCATTTTAAAAGGCTAATTGATCATTAGAAAACCCTTTTGCAATTATGTTAGCACAGCTGAAAACTGTTGTGCTGATTAAAGAAGCAATAAAACTGGCCTTCTAGAGACTAGTTGAGTATCTGGAGCATCAGCAATTGTGGGTTTGATTACAGGCTCAAAATGGCCAGAAACAAATAACTTTCTTCTGAAACTCATCAGTCTAATCTGGTTCTGAGAAATTAAGGCTATTCTATGTGTGAAATTGCCAAGAAACTGAAGATCTCGTACAACGCTGTGTACTACTCCCTTCACAGAACAGCGCAAACTGGCTCTAACCAGAATAGAAAGAGGAGTGGGAGGCCCCGGTGCACAACTGAGCAAGAGGACAAATACATTAGAGTGTCTAGTTTGAGAAACAGGCACCTCACAGGTCCTCAACTGGCAGCTTAATTAAATAGTACCCGCAAAACACCAGTCTCAACGTCAAACAGTGAAGAGGCGACTCCGGGATGCTGACCTTCTAGGCAGAGTTGCAAAGAAAAAGCCATATTGCAGACTGACCAATAAAAATAAAAGATGGGCAGTCTGAGATATGGCTTCTCTTTGCAACTCTGCCTAGAAGGTCAGCATCCCGGAGTCGCCTCTTCACTGTTGACGTTGAGAACACAGGACTGATGGTTGCTGATAATGGGCATCTGTACGCCTATGTAGATATTCCATAAAAAATCTGCTGTTTCCAGCTACAATATCCATTTACAACATTAACAATGTCTACACTGTATTTCGGATCAATTTGATGTTATTTTAATGGACAAAAAAATTGCTTTTCTTTCAAAAACAAGGACATTTCTAAGTGAACCCCAAACTTTTGAACGGTAGTGTATATTTTTAAACAGGACAAAGCTGAGGGGGAACATGCCCCTGTGCCCCCTATGGGCATGAGGTATCTGGGAAGGAATTGTGCCAGTTTACTGAAATCATATTAAACCCATAGTTTGGGTTCATGTGAAGCAGATATACCAGAAAATGTTGAGCAAATAATATGTGAATCAAACATTACATTTGTACAGTATTTATATACTATCATAAAGAATGATAAAGAAGCACTTAGGAAAAACATAGAGGATACTGTTTGTTGATATCTATTTTTTGTTAAATGTGTGAAGCCTACCTCCAGAAGTGAACCAGTTTTCCACCATTAATACAACAGTTATGACAAATAAACAAACCCTTGCCATCTTGTTGCTCTAGGTAGTTATTCCTTTTGATATCCCACCAAACAGAAAAGACCAAAAAGGAATGAACAAACAGACTGTAAACTCCAAAGTACAGGAGACTATTTGCACATGACCACCTGGGTAAGCGAATCTCTCTCTCTCTCTCTCTCTCTCTCTCTCTCTCTCTCTCTCTCTCTCTCTCTCTCTCTCTCTCTTCTCTCTCTCTCTCTCTCTCTCTCTCTCTCTCTCTCTCTCTCTCTCTCTCTCTCTCTCTCTCTCTCTCTCTCTCTCTCTCTCTCTCACTCTTCCTCTCTGTGAGTCTGTACAAAATTCCTCTTCAAGTTTTTTACAGTTAATGTGGCTTGAGTTAAAACCTAACTATTATTATTAAATATATTTGTCTATATATTTTGCTGATTTAAATGTAATTGTTCATAAATGTTTACTAATTTAATACAAATGTTGTCCAAACTTGGGCAACACAACAAATATTGACAGTTGCTGCCTGACTTTTGTCAACCCTGTGTTTGAAGTACAAGACCGCTGAATAGTGGTTCTTTAACCATAAGGTTATTTCCACGCTTGATAAAGGTTAAAAATGCCTGTTGTAAATTCTAGTCTGTGTCACAAAAACAATGGTTGTGTATCCAAATGAGGGCGAGGTGGGTATGTCAGTATAGCGCTAAGTGGCATAGTATTTGCATAGCTGGCAAAGCTGATGAAGTTCTGTCTCACTAATTATGTGTATTTTCCTATATCTGGCTGTCCTGCTGTTTTCCCCGTCTGACCTTTAGTGACCTTTGGAGGATAAGGGAATGAACAGGGCACTAGGCCTCTAAAACAGGTCACACGTAAGGTCACAATGTGAGCGTGATACTACCAGCATCACAGGCAGTGTGAAGGCATCAGGACAAAACATAGGACATGAAAACTATTTGGAATATTTATAAAATGTACAACAAAAGCATTAGGCCTACTTATTGAATTACAATGTCCTTAACCATTATATCGTTTTACACAGCTAACAGAATGTACGATTTATCACAGACAATGCTGTCATCTCCCCATGGACATTGACAGTACCTGTATTCAAGCAATGATGATACACTTGTTCACACATTAATAACTGTAGCTTAGAAATGACAATGACCGAGTTGATGTGCAGGGTACGAGTGTCACGACTTCCTCCGAGGCTGCCACCTCTCCTTGTTCAGGCAGGCTTCGGCGTTCGTCATCACCGGCCTTCTAGCCACTGTCACTCCTCATCTCATCATTCCATTTGTTTTGTCTTGTTGATTACACAAACCTGGTTCATAGTCCCTCATCAGTACCTGTATAAGTATTCCCTCTGCCCCCTTGTCTTTGTGTGTGATTGTTTATTGTGGAGAGTACTGAAGCTCGGTGGATCTCCTTGTATGTTGTATCGCCGGGATATTTCCCTGTGTGCCTTGTATTTTCTAGTGCGCCTGTTTTGTGCACTGGAGTGTTTTGATGCGTTACTGCGTGCTCTGTGGTTTGCGGAATAAAGCCTGTTATTCTGTGATTTACCCTCCTGCGCCTGTCTCCTTCAACATCATGTCATCACAACGAGGTAATTGAGGTAGATATGTTCATACAGTATACTGTGGGTAGGGATAAAGTGACTAGGCAACAGGACCAGCAGCATATGTGATGAGTCAAAATAGTTATCAGAAACGGTCCATGCAGATAGTTCGGGTAGCTATAGGTTAACTATTTAACTAACTATTTAGCAGTCTTATGGCTTGAGGGTAGAAGCTTCTCAGGGTCCTGTTGGTTCCAGACTTGGTGCATTGGTACCCATGCCAAATCGTTTCAGCCTCCTGAGGGGGAAGAGGCGTTGTCGTGCCCTCTTCACAACTGTGTTGATGTGTGTGGACCATGATAATACCTTAGTGATGAGGACATCGAGGAACTTGAAGCTCTCGACCTGCTCCACTACAGCCCTGTCGATGTAGATGTGGGCGTGCTCGGCCCTCCGTTTCTTGTAGTTCACGATCAGCTCCTTTGTCTTGCTGATGATGAGGTTGTTGTCCTGGCACCACACTGCCAGGTCTCTGACCTCCTCCCTGTAGGCTGTCTCATCGTCGTCGGTGATCAGGCCTATCACCGTTGTGTCGTCTGCTAACTTAATGATGGTGTTGGAGTCATGTGCGGCCACGCAGACGTGGGTGAACAGGGAGTACAGGAGGGGACTAAGCACACACCCCTGAGGGGCCCCCGTGTTGAGGGTCAGCGTGGAGGATGTGTTGTTGCCATGAACCATGACCAACCTTTCAAAGCATTTCATGGCTACAGATGTGAGTGCTACGGGGCGATAATAATTTAGACAGGTTACCTTAGCCAGCTGGTCAGTGCATTTTGTATGACTAAATAACATTATTGTATCGATAGGAGTGGGGGAAAAAGGTGATTGTGGTTGTTAATTGATAAGCACACCAAAGTCGGCATTAACAATAAGTAATAAAATAAAGATGGTACTTCTAAAAGCCTATTTCACACCATGGCCTGCTGAATTTGCAAGATAACTTTTCTTTCATTTTGATTTCGGTACAAATGAAATAGTGGCACTGACTCGCCCGTGGATTGCTGTTTCAGCATTGTCTCAATGAAGAGTTTGGCGTTCGATTAGCTGTCTGCGACATGCAAGTGCAGTTACAAGCCTGCTAGAGTTAGCACAGGAGGATGAGCAATATACAGATGAAGTTTGAGCTGGAATGCGAAGCTATCTGAAGCTGGTTAGCTTCAGAAAACTCTGAGTAGATTTAGCTTGCTTCATAGGATACCCCTCTGGTATGACAGCAACCCATGCGTTGGTTTTGTTTACCTAGCCACTGTTTCGAATGGTAACGTTTTAGCATTTGTACCACAAATCCAATGCAAGTCAATGGTACCTACAGTATATTAGGGGGGGGGGGGGGGGGGGGGGGGGATCACCTAATAGCAGGAACAGCACCATCTAGTGGTCAGAAGCTGGTAATATCAGGATGTAGAATGGGACATAAACCCAACAACTTCAATGGCATATTTCTCTAAACAGGGGAAAACACCCTATCAACAAATTCACTGAGAATATATTGCATAGGATGAAGAAACAATACTCCGAGCCGCAGCACCATACTACCTGTCAAACATACAGAACTGATACTATTTACTCATTGTTGGGGTGGGATTGACGTGGTGTGTGGGTGGTCCTTGGATGGCTTTTTACCACTTCTTTGGATTCCTTGTGTCTTACTCAATGTTAGAAAAAAGTTTGGCCCAAATCGGATGTTAGGTACTATAATTATTGAATATTATATGAATCCTATCAATTAAAATGTCCAATTTGGGAGCAATCAATTAACTTAATGTCTCAGAGATCAAATTATATTTCAACATAAAAATGCTTCTGGGAAGCTTATCTTATCTGTTTCTAACTGCAGAAACGATTTCCGAACAATCTGAGATGGTGGATGTCATGGCTTGCTGAAATGACATGGAATGATCCACTTACAAAATCAAAACATTGAAATCCGATAGGATACTATAGGATTCCAATACAAGGATCCAAATTAGAATACGATTAGAATCCAATAGAAAAATCCAATCAGATTTTGGATTCTATCCTACAGGAATTTATATACAATAATCTAATAGAGAAATTGTATCAATGTGCTGAAGTCTCGTGGTCTAAGGTCCCGACTCTGGATCACATATGCCTCCTCCGCAGACTGTCTGTGCCCTTAACCACTTTATGTAACCCTCTCTATATCTGTCTCCCTATCTGTACTTACATCTGTCCTGTCAAAAAAACACAATAAAATAACTCAGATCTCCTAAAAAAAAGTACATTGTCCAGAAGCAGCTGGTTGTCAACAGCACGCCAGCATAGATTTATAACAGATTTAAAAACCTCCATCAATCTACTCTGCCCTAAATATTGTAGGCTTTAGTTTTGAGCCAGTCAGTCTTGATTAGTTCGTTAGTATAAGAACTAAATGGACCTCAGAAAGTCATAATGATCATGACAGGAAAGAAAGCCAAGACTAGGAGAATAAAATGTTCTAAGTAGGCCTACCACTAAATACTTTTGATTATCTAAGCATTCATAGTCGTGATAGTCACAACAACCTAAGAAGAAGAAGTATGACAGATGATGATGATGACAATGATGATTCTGATCACGATGATGACGATGATGTGATGATTAGGCTGTCATGCGTTAATGAATTCCTATTTGGAAGAGGCTACTGCATGCATTGGGAGTAATAATACAAATACAGGGAGTAATTTAATGCTTTTCAGATTATTTTAATGTAGCTTTATTCATTTTGACTGTTTGGTTCAATGAAACCTCTTAAAACAACTTGACACTTGCACTGTGAAGTTGGCTCCTTGGAATATTGAGTCCCCCATAGTGTTCTTCCAGAGACTCGCAGGCGCGGACCTGTGTGGTTGTGTGGCAGCAGTGTTGTCTGTTCTTGTGGTCGGACTAGGAGGGAGGTTCCTCAATCTTGGTAAGATACCTCCGTTCACTTGCAATTTTGTATCACCTGCCATCAATTTCACACCTTTAAATTATTATAATGTATATCAATGTGTGTATGTCTCTGTTATGGCAGTTTTGCTTTGTTTGCAAAAACGTGGCGGAGTGGTCTGGGTATGGAACTGTTTTATGTGGCTCACAACAATGCTGAAAATATCTTGTTAAGATGACATGTTTTATTGGACACTGAATTCACATGGTAAATTGTGTTTTACATATTACCACTCTCAATAAATCAAGTCAGCAGACTCCCTGGCTAAACGACCAGTAGCCTACGGTAAAGTAGCTTATCCTTTGTGTTTTTGTTCCACAGAGCCCCAGCTGATGATTTAAAAAAAATCTGAAACCGCTTTACTGATTCTTGTAATTCGAAGGAGAACCAGTGTGGCATTGTTCTGCTGGTTGAAGTTTCATTGTGCGATTTACGAAGACGGCTCTATGAGTGCGAAAACGGGAAAACAAGTGGCTAAAGAGGAAAAGGAACATGCAACCAGAGGTGAGTGATCATCCTACCTAAACGACAGAATGTATAGCCTTTAGGAATGCTCTATGTCACTTTCACTGTAATGTCGGGGTTTAACAT